CCGCCTGTCGCCTACCTACACCCTCTCAGCCTTGCCAGCAGCGGCTCGCAGCGGCCCCGCCCCGCCTGCCTCTCCGCCAATGGCCGTGGCCACCCCCGCCCGGGCGCCCGGGGCCACAGTTGACAACCCGGGAGGACCCGCCCCGCCACTCCCAAGAACCACTGCGCACGCTTGGCCCTCAGGCCTCCCGGAGCGAGCCCGGCTCCGGCACCGCCCCGCCCCTGCCCGAGGCATGTCGGGACGTGTAGTCCACATGCCCCGACTCTGCGCGCCCCTGCACAGCTGCTCCCGCCACGCCAAGCGCAGGCCCGGGTCACTGCGCCTGGGCCTGCATTCCACGCTCCCGGGCAGAGCTGGCCTGAGCCAGCTCGTGGTGGCGTCCCCTACACTCTCCCTTTCCGTGCACGAGAAGAGCTGCCACACTGCAGTTTGGAGCCTAGAGACTCCTAGGTTGACTCTAATGTCGACCAGTCTTGGGCCAGAGCTGGAAGTACCCACACCTGCCCTTTCGGCCTCTGCCTCCTTTGTACGAACAAGACACATCCTGGAACCCCCGAACTTCTTAGTGAACTCAGATCTTCTGAGGCCTTCAGAACTTGGCTGGAGCTGGGCGGTTAGCTCAGTTGGTTTAAGTACAGTGTTATAACACCAAGGTTAAAGGTTTGGATCCCCCTACCCGCCGGCTGCCAAAAAAAAAAAAAAAGAGAGAAAGAAAACCTGGCTGGACAGTACCTGCACTTAAGGGTTGACACTTTTTCTAGTTAGAGTCAAGATAAAAACTTGGATGCGTGGGGTTCCGCCCTCACCCACTTAATGTGGCAGGACTTGCCTTCACCTTGTCTTTGCCCAGGACCTGACTTGTCCGTATTTTTGGTTTGTTTGTGTTTGTAGCTTAGAGACTCTGATAAATAGAACATTGTTATTCATTCTGAGCGTCAGTCTCCACCAGGCACCGTGCTAGACACTGTCAGAGGAAGACAAAGTAGTTTAAACCAGTGGTTCTCGAACTCTGCTGCATATTAGAGTCAGTGGAGCTTTAAAAAAATCCCCATGCCCAGGCACTAGCCCAGACCAATTACATTAGAATCTCCCAGGGTTGGAGGCAGGCATCAGAATTTTTTAAAGTTCAGGAGGTAGGTTGCAAAAGGCAGCCAAGAATGAGAACCGGAGAGGTAAAACAGCAGTGGAGGCTGGCTGAAGAAACAAATACTGTAGTACCTAGAAAAATATCAGGACTATTAGTTTGATGCCCAGAAGGTTAACTTATTTTTGTTCTCATCCTTACATCGAATGAAAGATTTATCTGTTACTTATGATATTTATGTAGGAAATGGTCAAAGGGGGCTAGTTAGGCAGAGCATTCTGTCCATTCGTTCTCTGATGGTTTGTTCTCAATTATTTGCACTAATGCAAAGATACATGCAGGGATGATAGGAAAGATGAACTAGTCAAGCTTAATTAATTCTCTTTGCATTTGTGTAACAAAATGCATTTGCCGCATTAAATAATGAAGTCAGCTACTTGGGTAGTATACAAGCATTGCAAAGATTTACATCAAATGACTCACTTTTAGCCATTGCCCAA